CTAGATCACAATATCGTTGTGTTCCCTCTAGAATAAACATTTATCGTAACTCCACAGTACCCTCGTTAGCACGTATTGTTGTTAACAAAGAACAAGTTTTCACAGAATTTCTTAACAATTTTGGAACTTAAATCTCTTTTTTGATTGTCATTTTCATTATCTCCTTTGCTTCAAACTGTATATTTTTAACTGAAATGTGGGTTTCATGCTTGCAGAAATTATTACAATACAATACAATACAATCTCCTCGTGATTCTACTGGTTTCGATGCTGGTGAACTTTTTGTACAAGTATCAGAATTTAATATCGCTTGTGCGTTGACTACTGTGACTATCTAAGTAGTATGCTGTTGAAGAACAATTTTCGAGCATTGCTTTACAGTTGATATCGTTTGCTTATTGACAGGATTTTGACGTTCGCCGATTAGGTACTACTTACTATCTTTCTTACCCTCGACATTATTGCTAAACCGGTCCTGGTTACCTGCTGGGTCAGTTGCAACGAGAGTCGCGACTCTTGTTCAGCGGAAACCGACACTGTCGATTACCTTGGGTCTTTACAATGCCGAGTGAAGTTTGACTGTGAACACCAGCACTGGTGCTATCATCATCATCATCATCCGCATACGACTGAGCAGCAACTCGCATCGAGAGTATCACCCTCACTACCAACCGGTGACCAGACAGTCTCGTGTCAGGTTGAGGGCGTACAAATTGCACAAAACGCGTCATTAGGGAATTTGGGGTGTGTACAGGGTCTCATGTGAGAACGAAATGCAGGGTGCGATTATGAATTCAAACGGGTAGAGTTCACCACCTGAGTCCAAGGTATTCACAAGTGCAACTAGAGTGTCTATCTTCCGATCACCTCAGCGTTATCAGTCCAATGTAGGTTTTCCCGCTTGCAGAGCAGACACTATGCGATAGGACTGGGATAACAATCGGCTCGAGTATGAAATATGAACATGCATCAAAGATGCTGGTATACTGCGGTGTTTTCGTTGTTTTTGTTGTTGCTTGCATCATGTTTGTTCGCAAGTCTGTGCAAACATCATGATTATTTCTTCTTCAATTACAGATCCTTGGGTGGGTCAAAAACAGGTTAGGATTCTCGTTCACTGCCCCATCATTGAATAAGATGGAAAAATAAACCCAACAGGTTGATAACAGTTTTGTATTCACAGAACTGTGAAAGTCTTCTTCTCTTTCGAAGATTAGTTCTATACCACACATCACATTTTGATACCTTAATTATTTGTTTCATTCAACAAAAACTGCGATCAGATTTTCTATTTTTTCCAGCAAAAGATAAATCGCGCTCACTTATGAGGTGATGCCAAAGTGTTGTCCCATATTGGTTACCAGTTCCTAGAAACCCACACTGCACATGTACTATGCATAAATACGAACAGATAGAGCCACTTGGTCCATTACTGACCAATTAGGGACACTCAGTCAGGTGACTCTTGTAGATTATCTCTTTTGATCGATCAATATTTGCATTAGATTGGGGCAGTTGAATCGGATTGTGTTACAGGTGAACTGTGGAAGTGTTTGCTTCTTTGCTTGTTGCTGTCCGTAACTTGACTTCAACTGCATGGCCACATTATTTGCAAACACATACGCTACAGGTTGGATTTTCCTCTCCCTAATTTGTGCTCTACCATTGACTTCTGGTGATGATCATATGGAACCGGCCAAACATCCAGATGAGTTCAAACATACGGTAAACAAAACATGCAAGGGTCCGTTGTGCACGATACCTTTTCCGCGGTTCTGTAAAACTCCCAAAGTGCAATGCGCGTATGGGCTCAGTTCATCGGGTAATCCAGAGTGTCTACCATTCTGGTCACTGACATGTGCCTGTCCGCCACCATTAAAAACATTTTACGGTGGCTCTCTTGAGTGTTATTACAAAACGTCATCAATTCCAATATTGGCCACAACAACATATGCACTGGTAAAGGACAAACAGTTGGGAACTTCATTAAATCCGCTCGAAGTCGCGTCTGCTAGCCAATGGTTCAAAAACAATGGTACAACACACACATGTAATTGCCCGAAATATTTCGTCTGGTGTGAATGGGAACAGTGGTCTGTATGGACCGATTTGTGCACCCATAATTCTACAAGCTATCGACATCGATCACGCGGATGCTGTGAATCGCAAAATCAAATGGAAATTGCAAAGGCGCACTATTGTACAACCACACTAAGCGGCGATCCGATAACCGATCGTACGCAAGTACAAAACCGAACAAGTGTACGATGCCCCCTGAGATCAATGTTTCTTAATCCGAAAGAGGCTCAGCATGTGACCTGGTCCGAATACTTACTGCTCAGTCTGTCTATTTTACTATTGCTTCTCATTATCATCACTGTTTTATTGATTTTGAAAAAGGTCAATCTATGACCACCAAACTGTGTCTCTGAACTGGTGGTATCTGTTCTGGTGAAAATAATTTGGGATTTTCGTAGCACAGACTGCTCCTAATACAAAAATATGGTGGTTTTCTGAGGGAACGCTTTGGCTGAAATATGGAATCTGGAAATTCGGGAATCTTTCGGGTATGAAACCCCTGGGTCACATAGGTCCCGTCAGGCTCCCTGTCCGCGGACCTCGAGAAGATCGTACCCGATGGTTAGAGACAATGAATGATATGGCTGGGTGTTGTAAACAGTGTCATTCTTGCATCTTCTCAATTTCTTTGCAATATTAGACCACTTAGCTTCTCCATTTTCTGTTCAACTCCACTTCCAAGTTTCCTTTCTTCTCCTATTCTTCATCCAAATGGGCAGCCAAAAGACAACAACCAAAACCGCCGCACGAAAGTGCTTGGTTAATGGTTGTTCAAGCTGAAACTGAAACAAAATCATGTCCACGGTGTATTCCTCAATCTTTTT